GAGTTTAAGGAAGGCAACACCCTTCTTCATATGCTGCTCAAGAACACCAGTAAATAATGTGGTCTTTTTTTCAACCAGTACTCACATCATTGGTGGATGTTGATTAACTACTTTCGAAATTATTTTAAGATCATACCAAAAATTTCCTCTCCAACAACTCTTTGGAAATGATTATTGCAAACAAAAAAAAAGGTAGGATATTTAAAAAATCACCGATTAAAGTATACTCCTGTAGAGACTATTGGCCCAACAAAAATATTAAGCTTCAGCTCTTCTAGATATCGTCTCTACCAAAACAGCTGGACTGGCTCCTGTACTTCTTTTCAGATATGTACCAAACTTAAAGGTATTCAAAGTGCAACAAATTAGGATACTCAGTAGGCAGAGGAAATCTTCACCTATGTATATTTCCCATCCTTTTCCCGTTTAAAAAACCCCCAATTTATTACATTCATTGAATTGTTTAAATGTTTATTATTTTCCAGATTAGATTAAATTAATTGCAATAGTTTGCATTTCCTTATTTACCTGAGAAATATGTAGGGATTGATACAAAGAAATATAGCACAGGAACAGAGCACACACATTAATTTGTAAATTTCTTAATTGAATGTGCTTATTTCTCACTTAAATACTTCTGCTTGTTTTATGAAATATATGTATATGAATGCCAGCTGACTGCAGTTAAATCATGCATGAATTACTCATGTGAGTAGTTCAGTAGGTACAATTAATACATAATGAATAAGCCAATACAATACTATAGATTTTTCCTCAGCATGCACATGAATTTTTACATCATGATAGATGGTAGTTTTTCATAAAAACAGGAAACTATCACTTTCTATATAATATAGTAGTAATAGTCCACCACTGCAATGCAATCATGCTGTCCTCAATAATATGTGAGATCTTGTATGCCTCTGTTATGGGAGGAATGTTGTCAGCATTAAGGAAAAAAAAGTTTGTGGGAGAAAATTTGGAATATTAATATGATTTGAATAGAGTAGTGATTAAGGCACACTATGAAACAAAATTCATTATGACCAGTGGGATGTTATGAAAATTTACTAGAAAATCCACCAAAAAAAGAACAAAAATAGTATATAGATATATGATTACCTCCCTTTTTTAAGTTGCACTCCTCCAGGGTAAAATTTCTTTTTCTCCACAGCGGATGTGCACAGAAGTCTAGATACCACTGCAATTGCATTTAAATATATATATATTTTTGAAATCTTAATGGAACCTAAGTTGAGCATAGGTCTTATACTGTCCTATTGTGTAGGGAGGAATTTCATTCATAATTTATATCATTCATATACTACTGCACATTGCAATTGCTGTCATTAAAAGATTTACAGTCATTCCTTGATTTATCATTGATTGTATGGTGTTACTAAATTTTGTTTAATGATAATATAAAAAAAATCATATTATATATAGTCAAGGGTCACATAAGTTAAGATGCAGAGAACAGTTATGGCAGGCTCTCTGTTATCATACAGTGCAGGATAATTCCCTTAAAAGTATTTCTACCATTTTATCCAGACTACTTTAAAATGCATGGGAGACATGTATATGTTTTGACACACATAAGCCTGCATGCAAATTGCATTGACACCGATAGTACTAAATATCCTCAATTTACAATTACTCACTATATTTTCTTCTCCAATAGACTGGGAAACAGAATGCCATTTGATGTAGCAAGTGAACCTGATCAACCCCAAGATTCATTAAAAGCTGAAACTGACATTTTGCAAAATACTGTGCCTGAACATGACAAATATTATTTGGATGCATCCAGAGCTATGGATAGGTGAGAATTTTTACTGACCTAAATGACAATGATGATGCATTGCTTGAATGACACCAACATTTGGAACTCTTCATTTCAAACTTATCTCTACAAGCTTTCCAAGTGATTCAGATATGTGAAAGAAAGAACTAAGTTTAAAAATAATGCATAATGTCAGCAGTAGGGGCATCTGCAGATGTTTTATTGATTATATGGCCATTCTGCCAGGAATACTATGACTGTCCATAGATCGGCTAAAATAAAAAATTTAATGACCAACTTGAAGGATTTCAATACAATAAATTTTTCATATAATATATAAAAAAAGAATAAAAATATTTAAAAAATAATATGCTTATAAAATTAAAATACTACCCTCTCCTATGCAGTTACATCTAACATGAAGAGCACTGTTTTTACTGTGGACTTCTTTTTTCAACCATTTCAGAAATACCCGCCATGCTGATGGACTTTTCACCAGTGGCTACAGCAAACTCTTGGGTCAACTTTCTGCAAGAAAATATCTGGAATCACTTATTGGAAAGCGAGTTAGGTAAGTAAGACATGTTAGGCAGAAGCATTTATGTTTATGTGGATTTTTAACATCTGATTAGCAATACCTGGACATTCTGTACTTCAGTTGTATTGACTGGAAATCAGAGATGATGCTATTTACTTAAAAAAAAATTTTTTTAGGAAAATAAAATTATGGAGTTACAGAGAGTTTTGAAATGGTAAACAATAATTGAAATGAGAATGGGTACTTAGATAAACAACATGAAGAAACTTGCATATTTTATTTAAAAATATTCACCTTTTCAAATCGAATGCATGCAGTAATTTCTATTTCCTTTTATGTTTAAAAAGCAACAACCTCCTGGATGAACAGATGCCTGTAAAGCGCCACTCTGATGCTGTGTTTACCGACAACTACAGCCGTTTTAGAAAGCAAATGGCTGTGAAAAAATATTTAAACTCAATTTTAACTGGAAAAAGAAGGTAATAAGAGAAAAAGATAGTTTAAACAACAGACAAATAAAAGACAATTAACATTAATGACTTTAACTCCCCTTAAAATACAGACAAGTGCTAGTGATGTTTTCTTGCAGTGCTTTATTTAGAAGACACTTCACTGTCAAATTACTGTAAAATAAAGATGATGCACAAAATTTGGTATTCTTAAAATAGATAAAAATGTTACTGATGTATCTGAAAACTTTTATTTAGAGTAAGCATACTAGTAAAGGAAATAATAAAAGACTAGATCATATGCATAGGAATTGCTCTCAAGCAGTAACTTTAAAAATCACGATACACAATATTTGAAATGTACACCAGTATTTGTAGTTCTAAGTATATCTGATAACTCTGGAAGTCTGTGACATGCTACTTTATTTGAAATCAAAGTGGAATGAAACAGAATTACTGTTATTAGTGTTGGTTAGTTTCTTTCTGAGTGTGAAAATCCATATTTCTGATCTGCACTAGCCAAGAAGAGCTAAACCCCACCAACCTTCATGATGAAGCAGAACTGCTTGAACCCTTTTCAGAAAACTATGATGATGTTTCTGTAGATGAGTTGCTGAACCGCCTCCCCTTGGTAGGTCCAAATGTATTTTTACCCTTGACATTCAGTAGTAGCCCCCTTACCCTTGAAATACGATTAATCTTACATGAAACATGGCCTCTCGGGAAAATGCACTCATTTGACATGAGCCACATTCCATGAGACATTTCATATGTCTATAGGGAATGTCTCACAGCATAAGAACCACTTTAATAACATTAATTAAATGATTCCATGATTAGTTGTCCTGAGTTCCTAATTAAATGAACAGTTTGACATTGTTTGTAGTGTACCAAACTCACTTTAGTTTCAAATCTACAGTGAAACATAAAACTCAAATTGACTCATTTTTTAATTAGGAGGAATATTCTGTCCTATGAGAATAAGTTCTCTGGTATTTCTTTTAATTAAAAAAACAGAATTCCATCAACATTTTTTCCCTTGCCTGTTTCTCATTCATCAAAATCAGATCTACCCCTAGAACAAAGAGATCTGAGGCACACATACACTACACTACACACACGCACACACACACGCGCACGCACACACACACACGTACCAGCTGATTCATATCTCAGACTATTTTCTTGCAAGTAGGACAAGATAGTAACAAAAAGGACATATTCAGAGAGGACAGGTCCATGGATAGCTGGTATATAAAACAGACATGTACCCTTTGACATCCCATCTATAAACCAAAGATAGAGGATACCAAATAGGGCAAGGATTGTACTAGACATGCCCTATACACGTACCCTTCCTCTAAAGTGTCCACTACTTGCCACTGTCAGAGGCAGAATGTTGGACTAGATGACCATTTGTCTGACCCAGTATGACACTTCTTAGGTTAAGACCCTTTTAATCTTGTTTTCACATTAGCATATAAGTTTCTATTTCCTATTTAACTGTGCTGCTAATGTTTCAAAATTTGTGGAGACAATGTACCTCCTTCATAGCTGTGTCTCTTTGCTCTTATGATATTGCCAGCAACAGGAATTTCAGTCTGTTCCTGGAAATTTCTGTTTGTTTCTTCCTCCTTTTATAAAGGGACTGTAAGTGTGCAAGAGACTTCCCTAAAAAGGAATAATTTACCCAGTGTGGCCAGTTATTTTATCAGTAAAAAGCAAAACTTTACTGAATCTGAACTCCTATTCCAAGGATAAAGTTACTTCCAATACCATCTCTCTTGCATAGTAGAACCATATGCAATAGCATTCTACCGGAGCGACTGATCCTCCAAACACTCACAGTTAGTCATAGTGCTTATTGCTTAGCATAAATAAGTGTGTTGCTGTTACTTCCATTACTGAGCCCTGTACCCCACTAGTCAGTGTTAGAGTGTTTTGGCTTTTGGTTTGATATATACCATTGTTCTATATTTTAGGATGCTGCAACTGCTTGTAAAATGGATTATTTTAAAACAATCTATGCTTGTTTTTCAGAACCTCTGAAGGACATCTGGTAAAAGCTATGACAAGAACAAACTTTTTTTTTTGATTTCCACATAGTATTTCAAAGAAAAAACTTCAGTATTCAAACCAAAACCAATATATCGTGAAGTGAAAATTGTGATATTTTTGTTTCTTATATAATAAAATTTGATGTTTACACTGTAAATATTAATTTAGAATCCTCTACCTAAAGCTGTACATATGTATGCTATCTAACTCATGGAAAATATGTGATTTCATATGCTGTAAATCCTTTACGTCAATAAATTCATTTGAAAAAGAGGAGTGCACACTATTGGACAATCTCAAACTACTGGCTAACTGGCTTATATTAACTATACCATCATTTCAGAAAAAACTGTGTGATGTGATGGATACATTTCCTGACAACTTCATAAATAAGTACAAAAGCTCATGGATTCAGTATATTCAAGCTGTCTCAGCAAAGATTGCAGGAAGGAGTTCATGTACAAAAAAGTATGCTTCTTAACACTTCATCAACATAAATAAAAAAGGCATTACACATGATTTGATATTTCATAGAACATTTTTTTTTCTTCTACATTCTGAATATTTTCATAATATACAAATTCAGTTAAAGCCAGAAATGTGTCTTTATTTTTAATGGTAATAGAGATGAGCATTTTTTAATTCAGGGTTGCCAAAGCACACAAAAGGAGAAGGGAAAATGCTACCCCTTTATTTGTCTGATGTGCCAAAGTCATAAACCATAAGAGAATTCTACATTTGATTGTGTATACCTTTGCTGATGAAAGTATTCCTAATTATATATAAAGTAGATCTGAAGACACTTTGCTATTTTTTCAAAATAAATGTAACTTATGAAATATGAAGACAATAAAACATTTTATTATCACTGCATATATTAGTGGTTTGATTCAATACTGGAATTGCCTGAACAAAAGAAACCCCTTTTAGCACAGGAAAATCAGCACATGCTTTCTTTAAAAGAGACAATGCTCCCATTTCCTGATTGTGTTAATCCCGTTTTATATCAGTGCAATATCTATCTATCTATCTATCTATCTATCTATCTATC